ACTTCATCCCTTTTCAGTGTTTTCAGACAACCAAAGGGCTGGGGCACCTCTCCTATGAAGACAGACTGAGTTGGGGTTGTTCAGCTTGGAGAAGGCTTCAGGGAGACCTTATAGCAGCCTTCTAGTATCTGAAGCGGGCCTACAGGAAAGCTGGAGAGGGACTTTTTACAAGGGTGTGTAGTGATAGGACAAGGGGTAATGGCTACAAAACAAAAGAGGGGAGGTTTAGATTAGATATTAGGAAGAAATTTTTCACTGTGAAGGTGGTGAGGCACTGGCCCAGGTTGCCCAGAGAAGCTGTGTCTGCCCCATCCCTGGAGGTGTTCAAGGCCAGGCTGGATGGGGCTTTGAGCAACCTGGGCTGGTGGGACGTGTCCCTGCCCATGGCAAGGGGATTGGAACTAGATGATCTTTAGGGTCCCTTCCAACCCAAACCATTCTATGATTCTATGACTTCTACAAAGCAAAGTGACAGCACTGCAACTTGAGGACAGAGTTTGAAATGGATTGGAGAATGCAATGAATGGATATGGAGCAGGCAGCCCATGACAAGGTGACATAAGAATTGGAAAGGAAACTCATTCACTGGTGTAGCAAACAGGTGGACATTTCTACTGGAACTGAAATAATGGCAAAGGAAATAATCTGACACAGTAAAACCTGGGAAACAGAAGGGGACAGAGCTGTGAAGGATATCAGGAGTTACAGACACCAAGTTTGAACAAATGAAGGATGCTCGATGCCCAGAGCATTAGCCGACATCAAATAAAGATCTTCTAACGCAGTCACTTTCTTCAGAGAGTGAAAGGTTGATTAGCGAGTTGCCTCTAAGGAAGACCGAGGCCAAGAGGAGTGTTTTAAAACCACTTCAAAAAAAATACAGTGGCACCCAGTTTGTTCTAGGTTACCTTTATGGAGCATGTGTCCAGTAATTTGAAACCTGTTGACTTGCAGAATGGACCCACCTCCTCCTTTTCTGAGGATATGGGTTCTCCATGATGCACTTCAGCCAGGGTATCGCTTGACTTTCAGAGGACGAAAGCTCAGGGGTTACTAGAAACAGCCTTTATGCAGAACTCAGACTCCATTCCCAAACATTAAGGCAGCTAAGCACCACCACCTTTGAAAATCCATCCCTTTTGCTTTTAAGCTTTGCGGGTTTTAGTACAAAACCACAGATTACTGCTGGGTTCAAGTAGACTCTTCAGCCAGTAAAGTTATTCCACTTACCCGTAATGCAAACCCCCAGTTTTGATAGCTGGGTGCCAGCTTGCCTGGAAACGCCACCCAACCTACCTGACGGAGATCACTTCCTACCTTTGGGGTCACTCCCAGTGACACACAGCCAACCCGATCAACTGACTTATCTTTGGGGAAAAAGTCTGGGAACAGGTAAGCTTAAAAGGCGGCACAGATCAGACAAAATCATCTAACAGAGCTCTTCATTATCAAACCCCAAAGAGAACTGTTTTTTCCTAAAGGACAATACAGCAAATTCTAGAAGATACTGTGGAACTTGCAAACGCAACGCTCAGGGTGGACGGTTTGAAGCAGAAATCAGCTCTAGGCCTCCTAAGTAAGGACAGGAGTGTCCTCATCCAAAGTGCAGGCTTCAATCCTCTGCCTCGTCTCATCTTGAGCAGAAAATCGGACAAAAGCAACGTCCTATCAGGAAACTGGGGGGGTATTTACCTAACCAAATCAAGCATGTTGTAGCTACATCTGACCTACCGCCAGCCCGAGCTGGCACGTTGCTGTGGCACGATACAGCATTTTGCAAAAAATGCTTGATTGGCCCTGTGTGTAATACGGTTTTTGTTGCCTGACACCGAGCAGAAGCAAGCTATGACTTTGGATTGCAGAGACTGCACAAGTGCCTCCACACTACAGTGTCCTTCACCAGTCGCAAAATTAAATTGCTTTCTGTCAGAAAAAAAACACAAAACCTTTCCAGAGAACTTCTGACCAACTATAATATTGAGAACATAAATGATTTTTTTCTTTTTTTTTTTTTTAATTTGCACATTGTCTGGAGAGAAGAAAAGCTGGAGAGGCAAACAGTAACCTCTGATATTAACTGCTTTATCATGTTCCCAGTGAACAGCAGAAACAGCAGCAAAAAGGCATCACAAAACCTGTGAAAAACATGAGTTGGCACATTATCAGAGTACATAAGGAGACAGAAGAATCGAGCACAGCTCACCTTGACAAGGCTGACGATAAAATCATCAGTAAAATAAACACACACACAAAAAAAAAAGGGGGGGGAGGGGGGAGAAAAGCCAGAACAAGATACATTCATTTTCAGATTATTCAGAACGTGTGGTTTGGGGTCTTCTCAAAGCACCATTGATTTCCTCCTAACATATTAACTCCATAGGCACAACGGAAGGCAGCCGGTGCTAGCAGAGAGAATCAAATCACTCAGGAGAGGGACCTACACGTTCCCTGTTACAGCAAGAAGCCCTCTTGGCACAAAGAAGCCAGAAATGGCTTCTTTCCCCATCTCACCAGGTTTGGCAACCACTTAAGTCTATCCTGAAACAACTGCAACTGTATTTCCAATTTCAATTGCTGGCCTAGTCATCTCCTCATGGCAACTCTGATGTTAAAAGCATTTGGATGATCTTAATATTCCCCAAAAGAAAAAAAGACAACACAACAAACCTGCAGCAAACTATGCAGCAGCTTTATGCCATCTAAAGAGGAGCCGAAACAGTACTTGGTTAAGCAACTGTTAAACTGTAACTATGCTACGTTTACAGAGCTTTGCAAAAACGCAGTACTTAAAGGACTACAAAAAAAGATTATATTTTCCTCTCACTGAAGTATTGAAAGCAGAATGTACTCTGCTGGAAATGAAACGGTGGGCGTTTGATGGCATATTTTAAATACTATTCCTCTTTGTGCATGCAGTGTAATGCCACCCAAGGGGGAGATTAAAAAAAAAAAAAGTCTGTAATTTGCAAGTCCATTTCAAAGTCATATTGAGGATGATGTGAAATTCAGGATAGGATTCTTGAGAGAAATCTCCCTGGAAAATGCGTACATACCTCAGGGAAGCTTTGGATTTGCTTCCCCACACTGGAAGGCTGTTCTGTCTTTTGACATTTCAATGTTGTTTACTCTTTGCATCTAATTTTGGAATTCTTGAGTGGTTTATTACAAAGGTGTATCTTTGACTAACAAGAAGATATTTCTATTCTGCAATCTCCAAGACTTCTAAAAATCCCTTACTATTAGTCTTGAAACTTTTATTGGTAGTGAGGGTACAGCAGTTACTTTCACAATACGGGATTCATCCTGTTGTCAGGTGTTACGAAGGTAACAGACATTTACCTGTGTGAAGGACCCTCTGTCACGGCCCTGGGAAAAACTGATCAGACCAGCGTGGGCAATCCTTTCTCAAACAATTACAAACAATATCACGTTTTAAGGCTTTAGGCAGTCATCAGCAGGGATTAGGAGGGAATACTCTCCTTAACAGACTTCTGGCTAAATGGGTTTTCTCTTTCTTCTGTGTCACCTTCCCTGAAGTGTTACAGACAGGCCACAGCTGGATCTGGGGGAAGGAAAAGGGTAAGATCATTTTCCTGAGGTCGGATTCTCTTCCGTAGATGCCCGAGTGAGCAGATGCCTAGATTGAAACTCATCACCGAATCTGATGTCAAAAGAATCTTCTCCTGGGTAAGATGAGGAAGGAGCAGGGATGGCTTCTGTCTTCACTTGTAGTGTGTAATATGGCTTAAGTATAGAGATAAGCAATTTGATCATCAATCGCATCCCACTCATCAAAAGGGTTAGGAGCGACAGTGACACTGTGATCCTTCCTGTCTTTTTTCCATGGCCACAACAATTTGTTCTGCAGAAGACTGAAATGTTTCAGTCCAATACTGAAGTCTTTAGATTTAGTCTAGCATGGCATCAAGGTGAAAGGAAAAGCAACCACAAAAGACCACAGCACACAAGAAGAGTGATTTGCTTTTCCTCTTAAATTCTAATTAGTTTAATTTCACTTAACTTTTGCCATACAGAAGTTAGACATCTATCCTTACTTAGTCTTCTGTGTGTTCTGTGTTAGTGGAGAGAGTGTAGCATTAATCATGCTCCAAAGCCCTACCTTGAACTTGTCTCGCTAAACCACGGGAAAGCCACGACAACTAACCTGGACAAAACCCCTACAGTTCATACAGCTTAAGGCAGGCAAATTTTGGAAACCTATGAAACCACGGGAGGAAAAGGTCTCAAGTATTTTATGTTGATACTTACTGCTTGACTGTTTTCAGATCAAAGAAAACAGTGACAGAAAAGCTCTTATGAGGATATCTAATCCATTAGGCTGAGATGATTCCCTCTACCAGCCAGGCACTGGCACAGCTGTGTCTCACTTTACTCTGCATCGAGGGGCTTTCTGTTACCAGTATGTAGGACAGATCTGAATCTGGCAGTACCTTTAGTCTGGTTTCTCCAGTTAAATGAAGATAAAAGTGTACTTTGCACTATGAACAGATGACACAAGCCTTTTTTTAAAAAAAAAACAAAACAAAACCAACAACAAACTCTATACCATCCCCTAAACATGTGACAGACACGCAGCAGCCACAGTCAGATTATTATTTTGCACTTTGATCAATGCAACTTTGCAAGTCTCTCATGCCAATAGTTCTCTTTTGAAATGGTATTGGGTGAGATTATTAGAACAAAACCAGAAAATTATGATCACAGTTTGTACTCCTAGCTTTCGCAAATGAGAGGTTAAGGTTTAGCAGTGTGGAAAACCATAATCAATAATTTTGCTGCTTCTATAATAATGCAAAAGCACTATATAGATTGTATCCATATTGCTTAGTCTAAAAATAAACAACTACAAATTCAATAGGACAAACATCAAATATATAAACAGACATGATTCACTTATGAAAAGCAAGTATTTGTGCTGAGAAGAGCAAAAGTCCAGTTTTGAGCTCATTGGATAATTAAAAATAAAGACAAAACAACATAAGCTTAATTATTATTATTTTAACATGTTAAAAATACAGTCACATCAAAATAGGATACACAGTTATAAAACTGTTGCAGATGACATAAGAAAATAGTGTGTATATATTTTATATATAAAAATCTACAGTATTTACTAATGCTGATACATATTTTGGAGCCTTGTGTTGCTTGCACAAATAAATTGTACAGCTTTGTTATGAATTACAGAACCATCGTTAAACACCGAGATTATTACACTTAGCCACAATATTATATACATACATTTCTAAGCTGCTGTAAGCAATCAGAACTAAGGTAAGCCCATGTCATATTTATCTTCACAATTTTAGTTTAGAATTTCAGTGTAGTGCTTTGCTACTGTTACTTTGCTGCAGTTTGCAATTTTTAAAATATAAAATTGCCCAGTTCATTAAAAATTACATCAGACACATTATATACACAAAAAAAAGTTTTTGAAATATACTAAGTAAATGTTACTTCCATTTGTAAAAATTGTTTTACTTCTGTACCTTAAAACTTACAGAGCCAACCTGCAGCAATTATAGGCACTAAAGCTCATTCTTTAAACGAAAAAAAATAAAAAATCCATTTCTATGTTTTCAGTTAACAAATCTTATAAAACAAAAGATAACAGGACAACTTTCCAAACCATCCAAAACTGGTGTTGAAACCACTGTTTGGTACTTAAGTATTAGGAAAATCTCTCTGTTAAGCACTCCAAGGACCTCTTCTGGCGAGATCCTTATCCGCCTCAACTCCCACAGGTTCCAGTGAGAGGTCAGCGCAGTCGGAACGCACCACCCGGCACCCAGCAGCTCGCAGGACTGTAGCCTACATGTGCCACTTAACCTGCTCTTTTTTTTCACCCCCAATTCACAGTCAAGGAAAGGAAAACACAGAGTAGAAAAGGCTGCAAACACTAATTAAAAATACTTATGTTACCAGGAGTCTAAGCTTCCATTTAACAGTCAGGATCATTTTAGTGTAAAACACCACACAATCTCTCAGCAGCCTGACGGCACAGCAGCACATGCCCAATCACAGACACGACCCTACCAGCTCTTTGGGGTAAAAAAGGGTGAAACAAAATGGAATTGACGTGACAAAGCTTAAGAGAAGGGACACTGCATACTCACACAGCTCAGAGAATGTCAAGCCTCGACCAAATCTCAGACTCCTGTGTATACTTCACGAGAGTGTCGAGGAGCTGCTCATTCTCTGATACTGGTGAGATTTGGCCCTGCAACCAGTCTGGTTAGTTTGACAGCACAGCATGGCAAAAAGAGAAGAGTGCAGCACCATTTCTGTATCTGGCATTACTCTCGCTGTGCTCCAATATTTTGCATATAGGACAACATTCTGAAGGTAGGTTTGGGCGAGAAGGTAAAAATTCTCCACTTTCGATGCACCTAAAAAACTAAACACTGCCCTGAATTTTAAGCACCATTTCTTAGCCAGATTAGAGAGACATTTTGGCTTTCTGCTTTTGCCTGCCTGCTCCTTCTTGCTGAGGAAAATGACAAACAGTAGTCAAAGGAGAGGAAATTAACTCTCACATAAGATTAAATTAATAATCCCAAAGCATCTCTCCTGCCCAGAACAGATACTGGGATGCTGAGGCAGCTGTATAAAAACGACAGAAACTCCCATTCAAAATGAATGGCTTCTCAAATAAATTACAAAGAAAAATTAATATGAAACAAAAGTACTTCACAAGCTTTGCCCAAAGTTAAACGCATTTACATTTAAACTCTTTAGCTCTTTTCCATATGCGTTTGTGTATTGTAAGTGCACACTCACACGTGCGCGCGCACACACACATCTCTATACAGTGCATTAACAATGTCAGTCAAAATAAAACTTGTAAATGTGTTACAGGTTTTAGGCAGAAAGATTGTAACACGAGTTATTTAAATGTAAGGAACAATGACAGTATTAACCACATTGTATATATGATCTTATTGCTATGTCTATGTGCATCAGATCACTTTCAATAGCTTCAATGCAAGTCTAAGAACTCAACTAGCCTTCAGTGAAAGCTTGAAACATCTTTGAAATAGTGTTGTTATTTTTGAGACTCGTGAGCTGTCTGCATTTCACAGAAGAACTGATGTGGACTGCTACTAACGCGGTAATGTTTAACTGCTTTTGGTTCTTGCCATTTTACTAAGTATAGAGAGATTCTCAGAGAAGCACAGATTCATGCATAGACAATCCATCATTTCTATTTCGATAGTGCTGGGCTTGAGCTGACGGGTTTGAATATTGGTATTGTGGTGAACCATGCTCTTCAAAGGCTGGTGAAGTCCTGTATCTTATTGGACTATCCACAGAAACAGCAGGAAGACCGTGGTCTTGAAAAGGTGTTGACTGAAAATGCTGGTATTTCTGGAAATTGTCCAAGTGGCCTTTGTTAACGTCTTGGCTCCAGGGCTGCCTGTAGGGTTCATGTCTGTAAATATACGGAGCATCTGGCCACTTTCTATCTTCTGGTAAATAATCCACTGGAGGGATTATGAATTTGACACCTGTGGGGGACCTTGAGTTGCTGGTATAAGCATCGACAGGGGCTACTTCTATCTGACCAGGGGTCGGTGAAAGAGGATTTTGGCGACTGGGAGGATAGGAATTCATTTGTAGTTTATCCGGAGAATAATCTACTGAAACGAAAGAACCATATGGCCTACCAGAAGGGCTGGTTCGATTCCCATGATAATGCAGAGGTACAGAACTTGTGTTGCCTATACTGGAAACATGCTTTGGAGAATTTCCATGGTAAGTGGGTGGATTACTATAACATGGCAGTGGCTGTTTTACATTCAGTCCGTGAGGTGGTCCATCAGATTGCGATGAATATTTTGGAGATCTGGGTTGCGAAGTGAAGGCATAATTATTGGGTATTTTAAATGGAGTTGGTATTTTTTCGTTTTGCTTTCTTGGACTATTAGAGTATGTTACATGCCTAGGACTCTGTGGATGAGCTCTCTCAAGCATTTCTTCAACAAGATTCTCATTCTCATTCTCAACTTCTGGAACATTGTCATACTGAGATGCATTAGACCCTCGCTTACCTTCATCAGCATCCAAAACCCTCATCTTCTGCTTCACATTCAAAGGCTGCGTTTCTCCAGGACTTGGTGGTGGGCCCGAAACCGAATGGTTTATTTGCCTTCCTTTCGCCTCTGCAGTAAGTTTCATTGTCTTTTCAATTATTTTGATATCAGATGGTTTATTCCACTTAGGTACAAATTCCCTTCTTGTATTTGAAGTAGCATTAGAATTTTGATTAGCAGCTGCATTATTATACTGTCTCGAGTTGTCTTGCTCTGTTGGCGGAGGCTTTCTTCTGGTATCTACCTCATTCTTAGATATACTACTTTGTGTGTCTATTGGTCGAGTCTTCTGCTGTTTTAAGGAAGGTTTCTTTTCCAGTGAATTAATTCTTTTTCGGTTATTTGGTGAACTTTCCGGTTCTTCTTCTGCGGATGGTCTCCTCTCTGTCCTTCTTGTCTGTGTACCAGTGTTGTTCTGTCCATTAAGCATTGGAGTGGAGTTAACTATAGCAGGCTGAGGTACTGATGGAATCTGCCCCAATGGCTTCTTTGGAAATTCATCTTCTTTACCTAAAGTAGGAACAGTAAAAATATAAATTCACCTTCGTACAGAAGTCGTCTTTGATCTGTTGGTCATGCAAACAAAAATAGCTATGAACTCTACTACCTGGGCCCCTCTGTGGGTCACCATTCTGCTAAAAACCTCAAAGCTTTTTCTGTATACTGACAGTAAACAAAGATTTTGTTCGGCTCTCATCTCAACCACCCTAGTCTTCCTTTCTACACATGACACAATCTTGCCAAGCTTTTGCTCATTCATTACACTGCTGCAAAACACCATCTTCCTAGATGACATCTGGGTTACAGTACCTGCTCTGTATGTACCCCTCCTCACACTGTCCCCGTCACATTAAGTAAACTACTTTCTCTACTTTAAAAACCCTTTCCAATGTCCTTCTCCTGATCTGCTGTATTCCATTCATTCATCTTTTAATGTTCACCTCTAGTAAGCTACACCATCATCTCTTCACCAGCTTCCTACCAGACATCTTTGAACTTTCTCTCACTTCTTTTTTTGGGTGAAGCTCCTCATGAACATCTGCACAGTTAAGTCCTTGCTCCCTCTCAACGCCTGCCTAGAAATTTCATCCTCGGTATTAAAAAGCTACAGTATAACTAAAAGGCTCTACACAGAATCCTATTTTTTTCAGTTCAGATTTTCATCAGTCATAGAACAATTGAAGTAGCTAATACTGTCACTGGCTACATCATGATTTCAATTGAGCATCCAATGAACGAGTTTTGCTGAACACAAGGACACCATTTACAGAACTAGGATATGAATGGAAAGTTCTCCCAGACTGGAGCTCAACACATCGCAACAGCCAGTGGTAAACATCAGTTATTTGGGGACCAAGAACAATCCACATTGTCACTACAGAAAGAATAAAGAAGTGTTTCATTGCCTGATGTTGCTCACAGAACAATTTACATTGAATTTTCCACTGTAGTCTTTCTCCATAGCAGTCAACGCCCTTCATATTCTCAGTCTTTTATCATAGACTCTTGCATATAACTTTTTAATTGTGTAATACATTACTTTCCCATTATAAGCAGAAAAGGTCACATACTTCTCATTAAATGCATTAATCTAAATTTAATTTATTTGATGTTCAGTATTTTCCCAAAAATAAAAAAAACTTTTAAAGTCAGCATAACCAAACAAATCCTACTCACTTTGTATCTATATATTAAGCAAAAGCTCTGTTGCAAGGAGAAAAAAATAAATGGCTACCCATACTCAAATGTTATGCAAAATAAATTATATAAAATGACTGTTGGTAAAATAATTGTGTTTAATCCCTGCTTCTTCCTAAGACAAGAACTGTAGAATCATTCTCCATCAAAGATCATAAAGTTCGCACCTCACTCTTTCTAGCTATTTGTAATTAAAATTCCTTATACATGTCTATATGGGTTCACAGGAGCAAATACACATAAATGCCTCTACCTCTGATCTGACACGAGTGTTGTGGTTAGAAATGAGCTATGTTCATTTTTACAGCCAATAGTATGAGTTCAATCTTTGATGACTGGTTCATGATAGAGACACAGAGGGAAGCCAGCAGCCAAGGTCAGTATTATTTATTACAACAGCATAACAAACTACCATCACAGATCAGTTGCTACATAAACTAAACAAAAACTTACAGTTTGTGCCAGCTAGGACAGAGCGGGAGGACAGCAGAGAAGAATACAATGATGCCATGTGTCATGAGAAGATAACTAAATAAAAAGTACTTAACAAAAACAGCCTGGTTTTGCCAAACAATTAAACTAGCCTTTTCCTGATTTTCAAAGTCTTCATATGAGGCCAAAGGTCATATGGAAATTTACCCTTTCCAGTAGAAATACACAACTTCAGAAACATCAGTTTACATATAAACACAGCCTACCCTGGCTTTCTGTAGAAAAACATCCACTCTTTTTTTCCCCTAGTTATCCTCTGCTCAATTATGACCATACAATTATTTAGATACACAAACCTATGCCCTGAATGCTCTTACACTGAAGACACTCACTGTCCACCTTGCTACACTTTGGCAAAGGAAGATACTTGTGCTGAGCCTTCTCCCCAATTGCTTGCCCCAAATGGGAGACTGCAGATGTTAAATCACCTTACAGGATTATATACCTTGCATGCTATACCCTGTGATGAAGAACACCTACATAAACAGCTACGAGACAGCACAGTAGGTTACTTGGTGGGGTAGGGCCTCACCATTAGGCTCCAATGAGTGGCTACTGGAACTACATGCCTCGAAGTTTGCTCCCTCTCGCTGCAGGGCCCCACGATTCACCAACCAGGCTAAAATCTGGAGCATGGATTTGTAGACTTGCATTCCCCAGCAGCACACCATTTGAAGAACAGATGAGGGGACAGGAATGAGTTGCATGGATGCTGTAAATGGATGATTTAACAGCTCCGCGACATACTGTCTCTTGCACCAGCCTCTTCAAAATTGTTCTTTATTCTTTATGAACAGTAGTTCACTTTCTGAACTTGCTTCAATTTGGCAAAAGGCATTTGTACCATTTAATTTACCACTTGCATTCTCAAATACAGTGTCAGGCAAAGCTGAAGATCTTACCTTTTAAATAAAAGTTAATTTTTTCCATAATAAATATTTCTGATATATTACAATGCTTTCAATCTTACTAATTTTGTATGTTAAAATAGCATTAAATCTGAATTAAGAAATAATACTCAAAGTACATATCAAAAACTTGTCATCTAAATCACACAGAACTAGTCTTTATACACTGTTAATCCATTTATAACCTCCAGGTGATCCACAGTAGTTATGGGATGGCACAACAAAATGTGTCCTCAACATCTGTAAATTATTTAATTTCTGTCCTTGTATGCAATAAATGTTTCATAAAAATGATTTATTTTTTCCATGCTTGAAATTCAGCTATTCAAGCTATATGAGAAAAACCGGAAGACAAGTTCCTCAAGTAGCTGCAATGCTTCCTTCATCTGTACACAGATGTTTAAAGCATGAACTGACTTCCTCTCTTCCAGCTTTTACTCTTTAAGAAATGCATACAGAGCAATATGAGATCCTTTGAAATATACTTGGTTGTACAATAAAGGTGGGGTTTGTGTGAGTTTTTTGGTTTTTAATTTCACACAGTTAAGGTTTCTTAATTACCATTAAGCTCTAATAAAACCCAAGTGAGAATACTGCAGACGCTTTTTTGAATTCTATCTAGTCTGCTTTGAAGACTACTTTCTGTCATCTTTCCTTCACATTTCAGAGTAAAAGAACACGCTACAACCAGGTATATGTGGGCTGCACTGTCTAGATGACGAATGCTATAACATGAATTGCAGCTGTAAAATGAATATCAGAAGTCTTACTAGGTTTGTTGTGAAACTGTTAAAACTTGACATTAATTCACGTACTGAGTAACAAGCAAAGCATTCCAAGACAATAGTTCATTTAGAGGAAAAACTCCACATCCTAACAGCGTGATACCACGTTTATACGCTGGTAATACCGGAGCTTAGTGCTTTCAGGGAAAACAAAAATATGGAACAATGAGTCTGTGTGGAAGGAGGGTCAGTGGGGAAAAGAAGAAACACAGCTTCAAATCTTAGCCACAGGGCTTCCACAGAACTTGGTTTAACTTGACCTCAGACAGAAACAACTGACACAGCTTGTTTCATCAACCACATCTGCATGTGAAACTTTAAGAAATCGCTAGAGGTACTTAATTCAGTAATCAAAGCTCCGAAGCACAGGCCATGTTCTGGTTCAAAAATGTTTGAGCTCCCATCACCTTCTGCCATAAAAAGCACTAGAAGGAAAGGAGTTGTATGAAGACCTATGGTGCTGCAGCACAAAGACATCCTGCAAACTGGCCACCTTCTAAAGGAAAATCAATTTGTTTTAAACTGCAAAACAGATATTTAATTCTAATTCAAGTATACAGATCATACATACATGTATATATACATACACACACTAACACAGAGCTGTCACTTCCAGTGGAACTACCAAGTGCTCTAAAAACAAATAAAAACTCCTCAAGTTCAAAAGTCGTCCACAAAATTAAACAAGTAGAGGACAATCAAATCTATCACCATGCACATTAATACAATGAGACATTCCTCAAATGCACAAAATAGCATGCCAACTATGTCCGTGAATGCTTTAAGCAGTCCACTATCAGCAAGTATAGCAAGAAAACCACCATGCTGCATGCTAGCAAGAAAGAAAGAAAAAAGGTAATAAAAGTAAAAAGCTGAGGAAAAGAAACCACGATGCAAAGGCAAACAAAAGAAACCAAACAACAACAATCTCTACCACTAAGAGGTACATAAATAGCTCACCAGAGAAGCAAGCAAAAGCACCAATTCTTCTTACAAGCCGCATATCTTTTATCTACCAATTTTCCACTCCAAATTTGCCTAAAGCCTCACACGCAGCTCTCAACCATCATCTCTCCTACTTCAGCTAAACTCACTGTTCAAACTCCTCAGATCTGAGCATGCAGAAATTTTATTTGGATGTTTTCAAGGACATTCAATTGGATATCTGTTTGTGCTGCCGATCCAAAGTCTGAGTTAATTCACTTTCTGAACATACCTGCCTGACTGAGGAACGGAGAAACTTTTTAATTCTACAAGAAATATTTCTGGGACAAGTGCTTTTCTACACAATCTATCATGCCTACATCCAAGGTTTAAAAACATTTTAAAACTAGAAGTTAAGGCAAAGCTGTCCAGTTCAGCTGTGACTGTTTAGCAGCGACCTCTACAATCATCGAATGTGCCTTTGTCTTCCAAAGCGAACTGGGCAATCAGATTTTTCCCAGCTTGCCAGTATTTGCATGAGATTCAGAACTGGTTAACTCTCATCCTTCCCCCCCCTCTTCCTCCAACAGAACAGGTTCCTAGACCGAGTTTAGTTACTGGCTTTTCCCAAAGACAAACATAATAGCTTATATCAGAATTAACAGAGCTGGAACTATAGAAAGGAGGTGATCTAGTTGGCTTG